GTGGTTCCTTGGGTGGGGTGCACAACTGGTTATAAAAAATGTGGAAATGTATATTCTCATTGTTAATCTGATCTACCTCTGGGTATTAAGTAACCAAAGTAAGCATGCTATTTGGTGTATGGTTATGATAAACAATGGTGCCTCTTTCAAAATTGTGAATTTCACGGCCTCTGGTTTTAAAACATGAACCAAATTCAATTGTTGGAAAGTTGTTACATGATACTCAGGTGACCTATAAGGCCCAAAAGGGCAAATTTGCTGGTACCCCCAAAAAAGGAAAGGTACATACTAGGACTTTCATACCTCATGTATTTTTGTGACAAGACCTTCCACTGGATACCAACAACTTTGACCCTTTGACCTTGACCCTGGAGATAAACGTATTTTAAAAACTTTAACCTCGGCTATAACTTTTGAGCGGAAAGGGCTAGGACTTTCATACTTCACACATGTAATTCTTGAAGAACTTTACCGCTTTGACCTTGACCTTATACTTTGATCTTTTTAAAAAGAAACCTTGACAATAACTTTAAGGGTCAGGGCTAGGGCTTTCATACTTCACATGGGTAATCCTTTTGACAAGACCTTTCATTAGATACAACTTTGACCCATTCACCTTGACATTTGAGTTTGTCCTACTAGTACTTTAAAAAAAAACCTTTAACATTGTTCATAATTTTTGAACGGTTAGGGCTATGGCTTTCATACTTCAGATATGTAATCCTTGTGACAAGATCTTAATTTAGAAACCAACAACTTTGACTCTTTGACCTTGACCCTGAGTATTATAAAGGAATCAATTTCTGTCTACTCTTAAGTACTTTTATTACATTTTTAACAGTGAAATACTGTAATTTATTACACCATCTAAATGTAAATACAACGTTTTAAGCGCAAGAATTTTGAAAATCTGTCTAAAACTAGAGGTACTGTGAGCAATGAGCCCACTAAATGATACCCCCGCCTCCCATATGTATGAAATGGCAGTGTCCATGTTTTGGTATGTGAAACCCAAAATATGTGTCGGATCAAAAAGTAAAATAGGAGGTGCACAATGGCAATATGAAATAAAGATTCTGTGAAAGTTTCATCAAATTTCATTCAGTGGTATAAGAGTAGTTGTGGATAAGAGATTAAAGTACCCCAAAGCGTAACAGACAGACGGACGGACGTACAGACAGCTAGACGGCTAGACGTACAGACGGACGGACGTGCAGCTGGACGGACGGACGGACATACCGATTACTATATACTAGTACCCTCCCGCTTTTCAAGCGGGAGGTATAAAAATGAAATAATATGCTGAGCAAGCGCAAATACCCATTCAGTTTTTTTTTGATCGGGCTCGTCAAAGCGCACGTGACATTTGCTAGACTCTGACGGCACATGGCGTCGTATGTATGTTGCATTACCAAACCGAAGTTTGGACAGTGGTTATAATAGTATACCCCCGCTTGAAAAGCGGGAGGGTATATAGTAATCGGCATGTCCGTCCGTCCGTTTGTTACGCTTTGGGATACCCATCTCTTATCCGCAACTTCTCCCATACCACTGAATGAAATTTGATGAAACTTGTACAGAATCTTTATTACATATTGCATTGTGCACCTCCTTTTTACATTTCGATCCGACACAAATTTTGTGTTTCCCATAACAAAACATGGTTACTACCATTATATTCATATGGGAGGCGAGGGGGGTATCATTTAGTGAGCGTATTGCTCACAGTACCTCTAGTTTTAATCAAGAACGTTTAATTTATTTTTTTTCTTTGCTACATATCAAGAAAATCAAGTTGAATTTTTTTCTTGCTACCGTGAGAACGTAGTTTGTGGTGAGATGCATTTCACGGAAAGTTTGGATCAATGTGCAAAATCCGAATTTTCTCTCCGTCCAGATGTTCACAACGCTCGCCATAAAATTATTTATTCTTGTATACCATACTATTGAAAAGAGACCTGTCTTTCAGTAGGACTGTCTTAAAAGGGAATACGTTGATAGTGACACGTAATTACGACATTTACATGATATAAATTTTTGAATAAGGTTTTCCTATTATGTCAAAAATGTAATAAGTTTCACTGTAAACCCTGAAAAAATGCTGAATCACACCAGAATCAGTTATATAACATTTGTTAATAAGTTTTCCCATTATGTCACGAATGTAATAAGTTTCAATATAACATTTTTGAAGATGTTTTCCCATTATATCACAAATATAATATTTTTATCCATATGCCCTGAAAAACTGCTTAATCACGCCGGATATAGTTATATTTCACCGGAAACAGTTATATATTGCCCTCCCGATCACAGTTATGTTCCCTCATGTGCAATCATTCTGCATATAAATACGTCGGACTCGAAATTCAAAGAGGCAGTTGCTACGCAAACGTAAACAGTTCCGCGAAATTGCGATTTGTTTAAATTAGGTATTTTAACTGAGGAGAAAAATTTTTTAAATACAACACAGGTTATCAATAAGAAATAAGGTATCATTTTTAAACATCTGTCGGGATATAAATACGGGTTGGTCAGGAGATCAAATTCCATGAAGCCCGAAGGGCTTTATGGTGAATATCTCATACCAACCCGTATTTATAGCCCGATAGATGTTTTAAAATGATACCTTATTACTTATTTTTACATTTGTGACTTATTCATATTTTATATTTGCCTGATTAAGACTTTTAATGCGTGAAATGTTTTATTTTTCAAACCCAACAGCATATATGTGATCGCTTTCAGTAGTGTTATGTAAAGGAAAACATTTGCAAATGTAAATATTTTGGATTATTTGTCTAAACTTCAACGATTTTAATTTTAAAAATGTTATCAAGCGGCTTCTTGGGACACTATACCAGAATATTTGCCCCTCGGTGGCAGGAAAGCCTTTGCCTTCGGCATCGGGTGACATAACACTCCAGGGCTTTCCTGTCATCTTGGGGCAAATATTCTGGTATGTCATCCTCGAAGCCATGTGTATGGTGTCCGGATAGGGCCATTTGCTAAAGCTCAACAGCGCGTTCAGAAAAACACGCTGTCAAGCTAACACGAGTTTGCACAACACGCTGACGCGCTAACACAAGTTCGCACGACACGCTGTCACGCTAACACGAGTTCGCACAACACTCTGACGCGTGTGTGTTAGCGCTTCAGTGTGTTGTACGAACTCGTGTTAGCGTGACGCGCTGTTGAGCTTTAGCATATGGTCCTATCCGGACACCATACATGTGATATATTTACAAAGCTTTGGTTCAAATCTTGAATGATAATTTCTATTAATATATTTCGTTAGAAATTCAATGTACTTGGTTGAAATTAGTTCAGCAGTTCCAGAGAAGCTGAAATCAAAAAAATATAATTATCATACAATCATTGTTGTTTTTGAGCTCAATACGATAATTTAGCCAGCTGAGTGGTACAATATTAACCGAGCCCGAAAGGCGAGGTGAATATTGTACTTAGAAGGTGGCTAAGAAGAAGAAAGCAGAGTTATAATGTACACAAACATTACCAGTGGTATTATTCTAAAATCTTTAAATGTATTTTATGAAAAAAAAATATAATGGAGGATTAGCAGAGAAAACTGTCAGCTGATAAAAGGAAAAGTTAACGTTAAAAGTGTCAGAGGGGGAGGGAGGTGCTCCCCTGTGCCCCCTCTTACCACCCCAATCCCAGATTATGACATTCCCTAATGTTAAGTTCACATGAGGAAAAGTCAGTAGCAGGTCAAATAGGTTTCCAGAACTATTTGTATCAATTTGGAATTCCCTTATCTATTTTAGATCAATATAGAGAAAAGAGACCTTATATTCGCCTGAAACGTCACGTGCAGGTCAATATAACGTAGTATTTTTTTTTTTACATTGCTGGATCTCAGCCAAGCAGAGAGATAGGAATTATTAAATCATATAATAATCTGTATTATTGTGTATATTTCACGCTATGAATTGTCTTCTCAAGCGCCAAAAAAAAAAAAAAATAATAGAACCTTTCCATAACACCTCCAGTTGTATTCATTCTGTATAAAAAAAAAAACATTTTTTATGGAATATATTTTGGAGAATGGCTTTTTACACCCTGGTACAGTAAACATAAACGTAAACTTTTATTGAGTGCATGTGTGCATGTGCTGATAGACAATTCAATAGGATTTTTTCTGATATTGCTTAAACTGTTTCTAGGTTACCACTCGATCTTGAGTTTTTCTGAAATGCTTTTAAAAATGAAAGAGATATTAGTATTCAATAATCTTTTTTTTTGTTTTGGTTGTAAACCCTCAATTAAGATGTATACCAAATGACGTTTGCTTCTCAAAATTATGGTTTCATCCAGTTTACGTATATATCGCAAAGTTTATGTAAATTGAAGGAATAATTTTGGTTTAAAACCGCAACATTTCTGACAACCAACAGACAGGTCGACCGAGAACAGGCCCTCGCCTGGCAATTTAATTTTATCTCTCTACGTAAATATTCTGTATTTTTATATTTAAAAAAATAAGTTTAAAAATATTCACAGAATTCAAAATCAAAAAAACGCATTTGAAGGAAAAAGACAACATGTCTGAAAATTTCTTTTTCCTTCGAGTTTGTATTGTTTATTAGGAAATCTCTCTCTCTCTCTCTCTCTCTCTCTCTCTCCCTCTGCATATAACATGTATAATTCAAAAGTTAACTCTTTCTCTCACTCCTCTCTCTCCATCTCTCTCTCTCTCTCTCAATGAAATTTCTCATATCATTTTATGGATACTTTACCTCATTTAGCTGACAATGTGTAACTTATTGAAAGTTTTTCGCTTCAAGAAAAAACAAAATCTTAAGGCACCCTACTACCTATTAGAATTCGTTAACCAAACCAAATCTTAAGCCATGAAGATTCATATGTATGATTTAAGTTTAATTAAAAAATTAATAGGAAAAGTATGACTTCATTTAGTGGGTGTGGTTAGAAGCATATCTTCAATATTTATTTTCAAGAACACGTATGAGAGTGTTCTTTGCACGACAGAAAAAATAAGCAGATTCCTGACTCCTCATCCCGACTGTCAAACTTAATGGCTATCTCACCAGTTGTCAAGTTTTGCAGATATGCATCATCATAGAATATATTAAAACTAAGTATATATTTACAATTCAAGTAAAACGTGCGTGGAAAACACTTAAGCAAAATCTCAGCCATGGCGGCTCTGCGATTTTTTCTGATTTTTGCTTCTGTTTGGATGTGTCAAAGCCAGCAATTACTTCAAATGTATTTGAAAACGACTCTTGAAAATGCCTACAGAGCATGTCGTGCCGGGGTGAATCCTGGATTAGCCGTGGCCGTTGTGAAGGATGGACAAGTACAGTTTACTCATGCACTTGGGGTCAAGGATAAAGCTTATCCGATGACCTTAGCAAATAGAGTGACTACCAACACAAAATTTGGAATTGGATCTCTTTCTCAAGTTTTTGCAAACGTTTTAACGTTGACGGTAATGAATTCAACTGAAAGATTGCGGTAAGAACTTTTGAGCTCCGAAAAATCATTAAATAGACATTGAATCTGCCATCTTTACATTAGTTCATTGTGCCACAAAATATAATCCAGTAAGAAGAATTTTTGATAATTGATATTTTGATTCGAAATTTTTCATTTCAATTTGAATTTAAAGAAACCCATTTAAATAAAAGATAAGAGTATTATTTGTGGGGGAAAAAATTATTTTCGTATAAATGAGCTTTAATGCTTTTCCTAACGTACAGGATAAAAATTCCATTTCTAAATAATGACTGAAGTATCAATTTTATGTCAATAGTAATTCATTACCTTTTTAATTTTCTTAATTTATTCGAGTTTTCGCGATTCTTGAATTCAGATAGTCTGCCCTGAAAAAGATTTGTTGTTACCTCACAAACTACTACAAAAATTCAATGAACCAATAAGAAGACTTTCCAGCATTTTAAAACATGTGCTAAGAAAAATGAATGGTATATGGAGAAAGATTATTAAGTTTTGAGGAGTTTATGAGTTCATCATTTACTCGAAAGTTCTTTCTATAAATACTACATGTAATTGCAATATAATAATTCTACATAAATTCTATGTCATTTAAATGTAAAAAGCTGAACACTTGATGTTTACTTTATAGAGGTTTGTCTCTTTGTCTTAACTGTCATACTACAAAACACTACCCTTTGAAAAAGAAAAAAAAAATCACAATCCCTCAGTAAAAAAATTCAACTACACATATTTGTAACCTTCTAAATTTTGCAGCCAATTGTAATAGTAATGTCCAAATTGTAGAGTAAGAATTTCCCAAAAATACAGAAGTATTAATACAGACTGAAAGCATAACCCACATTTATTTTTTTTCAATTTTTTTTTATTTCAGGCTGTTGTCTTTTAAGATAATGTCAAAATATTATGATTACAAATAATGCGAAATAACGACTTTCTGCATCTACCAATATTGCAGGGTATTTTTATGGCTGAATGTAGAAAAAAAGTAAATGGTTAACCTAACAAGAAAAAACTTTATGACAAAAATGATTTAAACTTTTTCCTTGTCAAACTTTTTTAAATTTATCTACACGTAGCACTGTTGTCATCTGTAAATGGAATTTTCGTCGCATAGTTGATTCGATACGCAAATTGCTTTTTTAATAATCATAGGTAATTTTTTGCAAACAAAATTAAGAGGAAGGGGCCCCGAAACTCCTTTCTATGTCTGCTAGAGTTATAATAACAATTCACATCCAGGAAAATTTGAGTCTCATCCTCAAGCTTTAAGAAGACAATGGCTCCAGGGGGAGGGGGGATCAATGATTAATTTGATAATTTCCTTTACCCATAAAATAATTATCAATTAATGTGGAATATCACATTTATATACAATTTTATATAAAAATTCTGATCAGTCAACAATTTTTGTTTATTTTACATGCTCTTTAATGCAGGAAAAAGGGTATTGATACAACGCTAAGGAACTATTTCCAACATAAAGGACTCTTCAAGCACTCTTACCTGCGTTCTCGATACGCTACCTTGCTAGATCTGATGACGCACAGAATGGGATTTGAGAACCACAAATACCTTCGTCTAAACCTAACGATGACCAGGGACAAGATCATGATGTAAGTTGATTTGATATATAATTCAAACTTTTGAATGATGCAGTCTCATAAATGCAACGGTATGTGTAAACTTAGTAACGCGCGTCGCCGCTGCAGTTACGAGACTACATGTACGTCTTCCAAAAAATATATATACATATATAATCACCTATTTTCGTGGGGTCAAATTTTCGTGGTTTTAGTGAAAACTCTTTGTTCGTGAGGATTTGAATTCGTGGATGAAGAATTGTTGAGTAGTTATGTAGGCCTGTGTAAAAGAGGGAGGGCGTACTAGGCGTGGACAATCCCCCCATCTGAGAAAATATGTTTCTAAATTTTCAAAATTCACGGGAAAGTTATATTTTTCTAAAATCATGTTCTCAGTAATGTCATCTTCAAAACAGTTTATTATTTTATTTTACTGAACGACTTACTATTTGAAAATCTTTTTTTCAAAGTTGACAGTTAAGCATGGTTTTACTAGAGCCATACAAAATGAATTTTGAACATGAATGGGTCAAGTCTCCATTCTTCGTTGACGCTCAAATAATGGAAACGTAAATGTGAAATCTATTTCATCTGTCCAAAAATGGAATCTGAACATATTCTATATGAAAATCGAACATTTCTTTAAAAAATGTATGCTTCAACAAACCATTTAAATCACACTGACAGACATTAATAACCCAAATACTTCGTAGCGTTTTGGTTAACGCGGTAAGTCTAGCACCAAAACCTGCGCTATGGAGAGAGAGTTTGAATCATATGTGAAGCTTTTTTTTTTTGTTTTCACATATCTAAAAAAAATGAGTGAACAATAAATTATTAATAAAATATTAAACAATGAAATACAGAATTAAATGTGTAAAAGATGATATGAACCATATAATTTTGAAAAATAAAACTTTCAGAATTGAGAAATGTCTTTTCTCAGAGCGGGGGATTGTCCTCGCCTTGTACGCCTCCCTTCTTCCAGATTTAATAAATGTACCTTTAACTTCAAACAGTAGCTCGATCTTACCTCATGTAAACAAACATCATGGCTGCCATAGCTTTCATGAACTTTTAGAATTGAGAAAAATGTCTTAATTCTCAGAGCGGAGGATTGTCCTCGCCTTGTACGCCTCCATTCTTTTACATTTCGTTGTGGACATGAACTCATGGGTCTTTTCATACCTTGAAAACAACAAAAATTAGCCCCCCACGATTTTTTTTTATTTCACAGTACACATGTTTATATAAAATTCAGTGGTTATACGAGGGTTGTCCCAGAAAATTTTGAATATTTCAAATATTAGTCAAACAAAACTAATAATGTTTTGTATGCTGTTGGAAAATGATAATTTTGTTATTTTGAAAAATGATACAGGCCTGTGATGTCATATGCATATAAAAACAGCATTTAAAGTGTGTTAAATATCGGTGGTCGGTGCTGGATAATTTTTTGACCTTTACTAATAGCATTGTCAATGAAGCTTTTTTTGTTATCAGGCGATACGGAAATATCGTCATAAAATTATTGTACTAGTGATTTTTAATTCCCTGTCTTGTCTGCAAAGGTAATTCATATTTCAAAAACTCTGTGTTGCCTTCATGTGTTACAAATGGAAATAAAGAACATGTACTTTTTATACCTTAGGACATAAAAGAACGTAATATTATCCAATGGGAAATAAAGAACATGTACTTTATGCAATAGAAAATATAGAACATTCATTATTTTAAAATGGGGAATGAAATAACCTGTACTATGATACAATGGGGAAAAAAACATATACATGTACTTTTATACAATGGGGGAAAAGAACATATACTTTTATACAATAGGAAAAAAGAACATGTACTATTATACAAAAGGAAATAAAGAACATCCATATTATGCAATGGGAAATAAAAGAATATGTACTTGTATAAAATGGCAAATAAAAGAAAATGTACTATTATTATACAGTGGGAATTAAAGAACATAACAATTATACGACAGGAAATAAAGGAAAATGCACTATATAGGGCACGCCAAATTCACAAAAATGAGCAAAACATAGTTTCACAGTCGATAAACTAGGTTTATCGGTTGTAAACTATAGTTTACTGACTGTTAACTATAGTTAACAACTTTAATCTATATTTTACATCTGTAAATCATTGTTAACGCGATAATCTATGTTTCACAACCGTAAACTATACTTAACACCAAAAACAATCGTTTGCGATCGCAAAACTTAGAGTATCTGATAAATACAGTTTCACGATTTGTAAACTTTGGTTTACAACTCTTAACTATAGTTAACGATCGTAAATTATAGTTTACAGACGTGAATCTATGTTTATCAACAAAATCTATTGTTAACGTTTTATTACAGACAGATAAACTTAGATTAGCATTCGTAAACTATAGTTAACAACCGTTAAATATAGTTTTACAGATGAAAACTATAATCAACGAATTGTAAACTATAGTTCACGGTTTGTAAACTATAGTTTACAGTCGATAAACCTAGTTTATCAATTGTGAAACTATGTTTAGCACGCCAAATTCACAAAAATGAGCTAATCATAGTTTCACAGTCGATAAACTAGGTTTATCGGTTGTAAACTATAGTTTACTGACTGTTAACTATAGTTAACAACTTTAATCTATATTTTACATCTGTAAACCATAGTTAACGCGATAATCTATGTTTCACAACTGTAAACTATACTTAACACCAAAAACAATCGTTTGCGATCGCAAAACCTAGATTATCTGATAAATACAGTTTCACGATTTGTGAACTATGGTTTACAACTCTTAACTATAGTTAACGATCGTAAATTATAGTTTACAGACGTGAATCTATGTTTATCAACAAAATCTATTGTTAACGTTTTATTACAGACAGAAAAACTTAGATTAGCATTCGTAAACTATAGTTAACAACCGTTAAATATAGTTTTACAGATGAAAACTATACTTAACGAATCGTTAACTATAGTTTACGGTTTGTAAACTATAGTTAACAGTCGATAAACCTAGTTTATCAATTGTGAAACTATGTTTAGCTCATTTTTGGGAATTTGGCGTGCCATAACTATAATACAATATGGGAATTAAAGAACATATGATATTATACAATGGGAAATAAAGAATATATACTATTGTCCAATGGGAAGTCAAATGTACTATTATACAATGGGAAAAAAAGAACATATACTATTATACAATGTATCATACTATGGGAAATAAAGAACATGTACAATTCTACGATGGGGAAAAAAGAAAATGTACAATTATACAATGGGAAATGAAGAAGATGTTCTACTATACAATGGGAAATAAAAGTACTAGAATACAATGGCAGATGAAGGAAAATGTACAAATTTATTTAAAAACGTGTCTAGAATTAAGGAAGAAAAGATAGTTGATTTACCAAAGTTGGAAATTGGAGAAATTCTTCCAAACAGTGCGCAATCTTGCGCTGTAAATTGCACTTTTTTGCATTACGGGATCTGTAGTGTTATAGTCAAAGACTAATATATATAGAGAATAATACATACCCTTTTCCATATCACATCCTGTATCAGCCCGAGACACCAATATCAGCCAGAGGGCCGAAGGCCCGAGGGCTGATATTGGTCGAGGGCTGATACAGGATGTGATGTGGAAAAGGGTATGTTTTATTATATTTATTACATACTTAGTAATAAAATACAGTTGAGAAGAAAATAAGTAAATAATCATGCATGGACTTCTTACATACATGTACATAGTCTAATGTCTCATAAGATTTGGGTTTGTTTCTATTTCTATTTCAATGCACTTGATTCGTAATTTGAAAATATTCTATAGTATTACATGTATTTGTAAATCAAGATTAACCTTATTTTCAAAAAGTTAAAATTAAGAGAATATGAACCCACCAAAAATTGTGTATGAGTACTGTTATTGTGGTTTAATTTACTAAGGGTGTGATATTGACGTCACAATAGCCGTATCAGCCCTGCAGGGCTGATATGGATTTGCAGGGCTGATACGGATATCAGCCCCGCAAATCCATATCAGCCCTGCAGGGTTGATACGGCTATTGTGACGTCAGCCATATCGCATATGCAAAAAACCTGTATTTATTACTAAGTGTGTAATAAAAAACCATAATGCTACAGTTCTGCAGTTACTACTGTGACATGGGACCCGGTTTTTAAGGTCTCATCGAAGGAACTGTTGCTTGCTACCTATTTTTAAGGGCGGCGAATTCAAAAATCTACGGAGATATAACATCGCCTGATTGGCTGTCACTTTAGATATTTTGTTTCTGTATTATTCGGAATTTTCCGTAGCCTTTCATCAGTGGGAGCCAAAGTATCTTAAAATTTCATGTATTTTGAGATATGTTACAATAAGTGGTGACATTTACACTGTTTGTCAGACTATATAAGTATATCTTTTTGTCCTTCCTGACAAAAATAATATTCGATTAAAAAAAAAATCGCAAATAAAAAGATTTGATCTTTGCATTAACTCAAAATAATATAGTTGCTGTTTCCTACAATAAAATCAGTGTAATATAATTTTCATATCATTTTTTCATTTGTAGGAGAGTGCATCATATGAATCCAAAAGGCCGTTTTCGTGACAGTTTTTATTACAATGATTTGATGTATGGAATCATCGCTAAAATATCAGAAGATATTGATACTCTTAGTTTAACGTGGGAGGATATGTTAAGAAAATATGTGCTTAATCCTCTTGGAATACCGTCAACCACTTTTTTCACAACTCTAAACCCACTCATGGAAGATGTGGCCCGAGGCTATGTTGAGGACGAGGGACTTCTGTACCCCGTACCGTACGAGTTTCTAAAGTACGATTCATCGATACTTACTCAAGTTTTCTTTCAGAATTTTAATGTTATTGACTTTTGTTAAATCTGTTCAGCATTAATGTTGCTAAAGTGTTCTTTCAAAATTTCAATTTCTTCATCCTGATAACTATAATTGTTAAAACGATGAATAATAACCCAATTAAAGCTGAAACTCAGCATACAAGGATAAGAACAGTTTATATCGTCAACATTTGTTTTATTCTCATACTCACAAATTCAATTATTTTTATTTTTTATATTTTACAATGGCTTGTACAAATTTTAGGGTGTGGACTCGTTTCTGTGGAGATTCATGCGTTCTGAGTAGTGCAAATGATATGGCGAGATTCATGATCTTCTTACTCGGCAACGGTACTATCCCGGGCTCATCTGTGCCACTCATCGATCAGGAAGATTTTAAATATATGTTCAAGCCATGGAATAGAATCCAGTCACCAAGCGTTGAGGACTATTTTTCAAAAGCGGAGGGTGTCCCGGTGACACGTACACATTCAGGGGTCGGTCTTGGAGTAAAAACTGGAATTTACAGAGGTAACAGTTCTCAGAATAAATATTTACTGATTTAGATTGTAAGTACCTATCCTTCAGATTTTCCTTAATTTGAGCATCAAATCTTAATTTACTTGAAAGATTTTCTTGCTATATTTTAGGTTGGAAAATAGTGGAACAAGCAGGGGATCTATTTGGTTACAGCACAATTATGACATTATTTCCAGAAACAAACCTAGGAATTTTTATCGCCATGTCAGGTGAAGATAAACATGACTTTTTCAGAACAACCCTCGCTTCTTATATTGCTGATCTGTATCATAAGGAGACGCCCTGGCTAAATTCTACCTTACTGTGTGCCTTTCCTAGTCCATGGAAAGTTCCTCCTGCACCAAAAGCACCACTCAATATGACGGAAGTGCCGCTAAATCGACCTATTACTGATTACGTTGGTACTTACGTAAACGAGCTCTATGGTGCATTGGAAGTTAGAGAAGTGTTCGGAAGACTTGAACTGAACTATGGACTAGGTCAATTTGACTTAAAGCGTAAAGATTCCACGAAACCGAGATTTCACATGATTCCAAAGGGACTTAGTAAACACGTCATTGATATAAGCTCAATGAAATTTAGAGAACAAAGAGGAACAAATCTAATTGAAAGTGCAAATATAAACATGTTTGAAGATGCTGATTTTATGAAAGTTGGCGTTCCTGCACAACCATAATCGCTTGTGTAATAAACTCTTTACGCTTTTTTGAATTATAGAGCAAAACTTTGGAATTAAAGAATGAATAAATTTGCGATGATTTTCTCGAATAAAACACTTTTTTGCGTTTTAATGCATTTCGAATAAACTGGGTACTTTTATAAGTTTCATGACCTGTTCCCCAACATGGGCGTGAATAAGAAAAAGAATATGTGGTTGTAAAACACTTATGACCCCCCCCCCCCCCCCCCCCCGGAAAAAGGCATCGTAATTATTGCGAAAGTTTACAACTAAGTTTCTCAAATGCACGTCAGACTCCAATGTCAACGTTAAAATGTCAACAAAATGGTATTAGAGGAAGGTCTTTTCACACGGAAACACTTGTGAAATATGAAAGCTTTTGTACTACCTGTTCAAAACTTATTGCTAAAGTTAAAGAATTTTTTCAAAGTGTGTCAAACTTTAAGGTCAAGGTCAAAAATATTTATACCCATTGACGGATCTTGTCACAGTGAAAACTGATGTAGAGTATGAAAGCCCTAGCACTAACTGGTCAAAAGTTATGGCCAACGTTAAAGTTTGGTTGATTTTTTTTGTCCAAGGTCAAGTTCAAAAGGTCAAATTTGGTATACTAAGAAAGGTCTTTTCACAAGAAATACACCTGTGAAATATGAAAGCTATAGTCCAATTCAGTCAAAAGTTATGGGTAATTTTAATTTTTTGCGGACAAACAAAAAAGCAAGCAGACAGACAAACTGACAGGGCAAAACTATATACACAAGAATCTTCGATTAATCTTCGGGGCATACAAACAAATCGTATCGATTTTCCGGATGTGAATGCTATACAACTTACAAAGGGCTTTACAAGAATATGTTTTTCTATAAAAGGTTAAATATGTAGTTTGAGCTTCAAGATGTGGTCACGCCTACACATATTTTTGCGTCTCTCATTCCACCTAACTTCGTTGGCGGTGGTTGTCATTTTCAACGGACAACCATTCGGCGGTTTTTCGAGACGCCTTCCATGATATAAGTATTTTTTTCACAACTTCTGCTGAGTATCTGCTAACACAGTACCAGCTTAAATGTTGTCAGTATTCAAATCTTCAGGACTTGATAAGGATAAGGATACAATGTTTATAAGAATAAGGATATAAAGTTTATAAGGATGAGGATAAAAGGTTTATAAGGATAGGGATATAAGGTTTATAAGGATAAGGATATAAGGTTTATAAGGATAAGGTTTATAAGGAGTTATGTTATAACGATTAATAAAGTATATATTGTATTATGTAGGTCGTGGCCACAATCGCCAAATCAAAATAAATGATTTTAAGAAGTTATATTTGTCTTCATCGTCTTTAATAATTGAGAAATTGGAATCAGAATTGAATTTTTCATTAGATATACTGCAGTTTCAACCCAAAAAAGATGTGTTTGTGAAAAACTGATGCCCCTGTATGGCAGCATATGGCGAGAGTTGACTTTTCTCAAATGCATGTCAAACTCCAAGGTCAAGGTCAACAGTGTTGGTACTCAAAGGAAGGTCTTGCTACTTGCAATACACCTGTGAAAATTAAATGAAAGCCCTAGTTCTAACTGTTCAAAAGATATGGTCAAGGTTTAAGTTTTTTAAAAGTGGGTAAAAACTCTTTTGTTCAAGTTCAAAGGGTAAAATTAGTTAAAGCCTTATATATTATTTTTTTAAGCTTTGCATAGATCTATTTCATTTGCTGAATACAGAAACAGTCATGTTCCAATTGTACACAACTGTGAACACTGAGAAGTACGAACCATTGAGACCATAATGTAGGTGTTGAATTTTTACCCTAGTCCGTTGAAAATTGAGTCGCTTTGTGGAATTTTAATCATGAAAAATGTCCTTAATTCAAACACATAAAAAGAACACATACATTGTAGTCCACCAATTCTTTGAGATCACAATTTGAATATAAATTCATTATTAAATGTATGTGTTCTTTTTATGTGTTTGAATTAAGGACATTTGGTTCAGAACTAGATACACATTTACCGGATTTCAAAAAAAATGATAACATTTTCGAGTGGTCTTTCTAGGATATATGCACAAGGAAGTTAAAAAAGAACCATGTGACCTAACCAATGTGTCTTTCCTTGCAAGAAATTAGTTCGTAATATGAAAACAGCTTACATGAAAGTAATGAAATAGTGCAACTGAAATCTTAAGGCTATCATACATGAAAATAAATTCTGGCAAAAACTTAAAGCTCAGGAAATAGTAGTTTCCGACAAAAAATGCATGTGATTACTTTTAATTAAATCTACTAGACTAGAGTACTTGAAGCTTTGAATAAACGATTTTAACAATGACTCCTTTGGAAACACCAAATCTTGTTCAAAGTTCGTTCATATAATTAATTCGATGCAGGTGTCTTTGAAACGCTTCAACGATACTGCAACATAATATTAATGCCTACAGATAAAGAAGAGAAACGAAAGAAAAAATTCCAATCAAAAATTTACGGTTTCAATACTATTATAAAAAACATAAAGAAAGCATGTGCATACAGCACCATTTATATATTGTATGCCACAATGTAACAAAATAAATTACAGCAAAGTAAAATTCATGAACTTATCAAATCCATGTAAATGCACATGGTCCTAAGAAGCATTAAATGTTTTTGGGGGTGCAATTTCAGTTGGGAGGGGGCACAACCAAAGAAAAATGTCTTGAAATGAATAAAGAGGAAAAACATAAATTAGGTACATTTTATTTTTGCTATTGTATATTTTTGGCAAATTATTTGGGGGGGGGGGGGGGTGTTATTGTTCTGACTGGCCGGATATAGTCCAAAGGATTGCTCCATCTCTAAAAACCGTTTTCTATAAATATACTTCGGTTTTTAGCCAAAATACATACTGTCGCAAGTTTCACTTTAGACTTAAGACAAGTATCTAGTTGTCTTAAGATTATGATAGATCTTAAGATTATCATAAGATATGACAGTTTTGTGAAACGGCTAAGGTGCGATCTTACGATAATTTTCGGTCTTAAGACAGATCTTAGTCATAAGATAGTTTTGTGAAACGGGTCCCAGGAATATGCATATCTTCTGTCATCAAAAATTAAATCTAAAAACTTTTTTGATTTGTCTAAAAGACAAAAGCCAGACCATAAACGATAAACGATAATGTTTACACAGTCTAAATGTATATGTATTGATTCTAAGAGAGGGGCTTATGAGGTGAAATTTCTTGTATTTTTTTTATCTCAGAGTCGTCCTTTGAGATAAGCAGGATATTTTAAACTACATTCATGTTATTATTGGAATGCTTAAAAAATTATATAAATATTTATTTTCATCAGGTAAAAATGCCTATCATCGAACAGCAAGGTATGCAAGAGATAAAAAGAGAGGTTTTTCCAGTTCCCTTATATAATGAAGACTTTCAAATTGTTTTAGAATGTACTGAGATAGCCTAAGAAATTATAATAAAACATGTTTCAAGAAAGAAAATGTTAATACCCTCACCCCCTACTGACACAAGCAAGAAAGAGAGGGGGAATAAGTGGGGAGGGAGGGGTGAGAGAGAAAATGGATAAGATGGAGAGAGGGGGAGAGAGAGGGGGGGGCGGGGATGGAGAGAAAGACATACAGACGGGAGAGGTAGAGCGATTGAATTCTACTTCTGAAAATTGCGTATATACATGTACACAGCTGAAATCAAAAGGATGCTAGAGTTTTCCATTGACAACATTGATATAGTGTTCGGAGACAAAGTTATCCAGCACACAGATTAAGATATATAATTATATTGTGAAAGTCTATACAAAATTAACCCCGCCTCAAATTTCCTGGTTTTATATTCCACTTAAATTATTTTACACCTCTCTCTCTCTCTCTCTCTGTGAGAGTGTGAGGGAGAGGGTGTGTGTGTGAAGGGAAAAGAGAGAGTGTGTGTGTAATGTTTACAGAAGAAAAAAGGATATAATATTTAAAAAGGAAATAAAAAAGATAAAAAGTTGCCCTCAAAAATGTGCGGGCAAAATAATGTGGAACAATAACAAGATTTCATCCTGCTTTTCTTTGATGACATTAACAAATTAAGACCTACAATTTACTTACGCTCAGCTATAAATTTGAATGTGAAAGTAATTTGTTAAAAGACAGTAAAAGTCGAAATGCTGTAATCAAAAGTTGTCACGGTGCTTCATTAATTACCATCAACCCACCTCGCAATTAAATTATAATCTCCATAAAATTATGCTTATGCGAACATTACCAGTTTTGTTCCATGCGACATTAACTCTGACAAATACCTCAGTTAATTTTCATTTTATAAAAATTACTTTGGAACAGTAAACCTCATCTTTTGCATGGTGATTGAGTATTACTTTAGACCTGAAGAGACATAATGAAAATCTACAGCTGCGGTAATTCAATGAAGTTTTGTTCTTTCCAGTCTGACACTGTCAGGAAAATGACACGAATATGCAAATTAAAATAGCAAGATTTATTACAAATCATACTAGCTCACTGTTTTATTAAATTATTGACAACATAAGAACGAATGTATTCGATGGAATTCATTACATCACATTGTTTGAGGAATTTTGTGTTCCTTCTGGTATTTTCTTCCGTTACTTCGGCAGAAATGAGCACGAAGACCAAAATCTATAGCTTGCTGACACCGGTTTTTACAAAATGTCGTCAACAAGTAAACCCAGGCATGGCTGTTGTGGTGGTCAAAAATGGCAATGTTGTTTTTGCAGAAGGATTTGGTGTCGAGGACTTAAAGACTAAACAACCAGTGACCACAAGAACCTTATTTGGTATCGGGTCACTGACGAAAGTGTTTACCAACTTACTGATCCAAAAATACTTTGGCGAGAATTCCAGGTATGGAAAAATTGGAAATACATAACGATCAAGCTGATCGGAAAGATATCTCAAACAGAGGAAATAAAAATGGAAAAAATCATTCACGAATAATACCGGTAGACATTTGAGATAAGCTTTTTATATCAGTGCTGATATAGGGTAAAGCACAGGGCTTTAGATCGCTTAGAAAAAAAAATTGAGGTGTTGAAAAAAAAAATAATTTTAACACACAATTTTTTTAAGCGATCCAAAGGCCTGTGGGGTAAAGTATGTATTTCTGAGGGTCAGATTTTCAGCTTAAATATATCATAAGAAAGACAATTTTGTATTTGTTTTATATACTTTACATGTATATATAAGAAAATCAACAAGGTAAAAAATATTAACTTGTCTAAAAATAAACACATTTATTGTCCCCCGCTTTCGCGAAAACGAGGGGACAAGCTTTCGTAAAAGCGAGGGGCATTAAATCTCATTTGTCTGTCCGTCTGTCATTCCGTCCGTCCGTCACAAAAACCTTAACCTTGGTCATATCTTTTGAATGAGAAGAGATAGGACTTTATACATGTATATCACCTGTGACAAGGCCTTTATAAATACACTATGATTTTTTGTGCCGCAACCTTGACTTTCAAGTTTGATCTACATTCAAAAAAATTAAACATTGCTTTGAATTGGCCATTATTAAAATGTTTTATCTGTGACAAGACTTTTCTAAAAACACTGATTTTTGACCTCATGACCTTGAAGTTTGACCTACTTTTCAAAAACTGAAACCTGGGTCATGAATTCTGAATGAGAAGAGGTAGGGCTTTCATATTTTACCTGTGTATTGCCTGTGACAAGACTTTTCTAAATACACTATGACTTTTGATCTTTTGACCTTCACCTTGAAGTTTGATCTACTTTTTATGATAAATTTTTCCTTATAACTTTTGATTGAGATGAGATAGGGCTTTCATATTTGATATGTGCATTATGCATTACCTGTGACAAGATATTTCCGAGTATGCTATGATTTCTGACAACTTGACCTTGACCTTCAAGATTGACCTTATTTTAAAAAAATTCAACTTCGGTGATAATTTCTGAATGACATAGCGTTCATATTTGACACAATATATCATATCAATGACATCTCATCGTCAAAGACACCGAAAGCGGGGGAATCTTTGAATTTGCCTGTTATCATTAATTTGTATTTATTTCAATTTCTTATACGTTTAGAATGTGAAGTCACTTGTACTTCTTATAAAGAGTTTGGGTATATTGCTGTTACACTGTCCACCTATCACACTTTCTTTTTCCTCAAACCCCTGTTTAACTTAAAGCTATCATTTATTTATCACTTGGAAAAGGATAAATATGGTCCTGTTAGATGATTCACCATAGGGGTCAAATGAGGGTAAAAGGTGACTTTTTTAACACAAACCGTCAGATTTGTGTTCCTGATAATATTTCTTCTTACGGTTTGCATAGAAGCAAAAAATGACCAAATGTATATTTATCAACCCACACTAAAAATACAGGTAATGAAAATTGATTCTATGTCTCAGCATATGTATTTAAAAATGTCTAAATTCTCGTACCTGCCAAATATCTCGTTGATATCTCAATTCACAAAAAATGTTATGCCCAAAAAGGCTAAAATTGTCAGAAGCGCAACTCCTTTTTGTGACATTTTGAAAATTCAATATTTTTGGAGATCTGTGAAATAAATAAAAATGGTTTATGTTGAAAATACAGACTTTCCTGATAATATTAAAGTATTGAGCTTTAAATGTGAACTGTAGTAACTTTTGTTTAATCAAGTTTATATTTAACAAAATGTTATACCATGTCAGGAGGGCAATAGAAATCAAAGTACTCAGAAGTACTGAAAGCCGGGCTCATTTACAGGGTAATGAACAAAGACCACGATGACAGTTTAAAATCAAGCTGATTCAGCCATTGAAAAGATGATTATATATATCTATGCCATATATATAGCATTAAAAAGGTTTAAAATTAATTAAAATGTAGCTAGAATTTAACAGCGTAAAATATTTGTCACATGTATTATTTCGGGGTTTTACATACCAACAAAAGTAAATAAACACTGATGCAGCAAGATTATTTAAGGTCACACAATTATGCACAGATGGGTCCTCAGCGGGGAGTTTTGCATTAAAGCGTACATCAAGTCATTAATGATGTTCCCCGCATTTGTATCAGCCTGATAGTACACCCTTTATTTATAGAATATGACGCAGACAGGGATACCTGTTGAATACCTTTCGCATACCGGTATTTTAACCAAATAGTTAATCAGCGAAAACGATAGAAAGTATTTTACAATAATTATTTTTTGACAATTTCAGTTAACTATGAAAGTTTAATTCAGTGTCTGTATTGCCTCAAAGGTGATTGCGCAGACGTACTATATTCTAACTCGTAAATTTAATTTGGCGGTGAAGAAGCAGCATTTTCTGTTGCTCACCGTCGCAATAGCCGGGCATTTCTCTACGAGAAATGAGCCCGGCTAAAAATGTAGTGTTGCCAAGAACATTAACTAGTAAATTCTGAAAGAAAATTAAGACAAACAAGATTTGTTTGTGGAACACTGAAGCCCCGTATGACAGCTTATGGTGAAGGTTTAATTCTCTCAAGTGCATGCCAAACTCCAAAGGTCAAAGTTAAAAGTGTTGGTACCCAGAGGAAGGTCTTGTTACTAGAATACCCTCTATTTCTAACTGTTCAAAAGTTATGACCAAAGTTAATTTTTTTTTTTAATGGGTCAGACCTTTAGGTCCAGGTCAAAAATATTTATACCATCTGAAAGGTCTTGTCAGAATGAATACACACGTGGAGTATGAAAGCCCTGGCTCAAACTGTTAAAAAAAATATGGCCAAGGTTAAAGTGTGTTTTTTTTTTAATAAAAGAAAGTCAAACTATAAGGTCAAGTACAAGAGGTCAAATTTGGTGGTACCCAAGGAAAAATCTTGTCACAAGGAATACACTTGTGATATATGAAAGCCCTAGTTCTAACTGTTCAAAAGTTAGACAGTGAAAATGATGTTCATCTGCCTTTGGGTCAATATTGCAGAAGTAGCTAGGACATTTGAATAATTTTCAGTACTCGCACTCTAACAAACTATTTTCTCGACCGATCTTGGACCTGCCTTTGGGTCAATATTGCAGAAGTAGCTAGGACATTTGAATAATTTTCAGTACTCGCACTCTAACAAACTATTTTCTCGACCGATCTTGGACCTTGTTAAACCCACCTTACATTAAAGTATCCCAGTCAAATATTCGAATATTTCAATAAATTATATGTACCTGATCAATTAAAAAGTTTTTATAGATTCTTGGAAGGTAGAGGAAACGAATTGCTTTGCAGAGCAGGTTCTATTTTCGCAACATGACCCAAGACCCTAATCAAGTAGCGTTTCTCCATTGCAATGGGATTATTGAAATTGACATGGGAGACCTCGTGTAATTTAAATCTATTACAAGGTGATCTACATTTTTAAAATCTAAATTTACAATTTTATTTCACAATATAAGGAATCACTGTCTAGTAAGTAGTGTATTCCAGGGACATCAACGTTATGCAAATTATCCCACTTTTCCAACCATCGTTGATGTCCTGACATACTCTACTAACTAAACAGTGATTCCTTAAATATTAAATGAGGTAATGAATAGTACACGAAAAAAAAACATTTAATTAAATAAAATCATGAAATAAATGATAAATCATATGTATTCAAGAACAGGTTACTAACGTTGGTAAAAAAAAAATTCCTTCCACACATAAAAAGAAAAGTTCTTCTACACATATTGCAAGTAATCATTTCACGATGTTGACAAGTCATTCAAGTGTATATAGCTTTATTCTTTTGAGAATATTCCATTATTTGTTTTAGATAAGTTTCATGAATCTTTTTTTTCAGACACAGTTTGACCACAACATTAAGACATCTCTTTAGGAGAAGCGACCTCTTCAATTACTCGGAAATTCGAACGTTTTATGCGAACACACTAGATTTGATGACTCATAGAATGGGCTTCCCGAGTCATAACTACCTGCGGCTTGATAAAACATTAAATAGGAAGAATGTACTGGAGTAAGTGGCAGTGTAAGCTATTCTTTAATATCATGCTCAGGCACGTTTACAGGCACGTAGCATCAAAGGGAGTAGGGGGCAGGGGCAAATTAGCCCCCCCCCCCCAATTTTTTTTTAAACACAATTTATTTTTTTTTTTATTTTGAAAATGATTGAAAGGCCGGTTGGCCTCATACTTTTGTATTAGTTTATGAAAAAATACGAAGAAAATTTAGTTCGGAAAGAAGTTGGAACCTAACACTACCCCCCACCCCCACCCCGCTACAAGTAGGATTTTTGAGTTCAGCAAATTTCCTTCTTTTTCTGGCTTGTCAATTTTCGCGGTAAGTTAAGCAGATCCCCCCATCCACTTTCAAAAACGATGCTACGTCCCTGGTATATAATTTCAATGTTTAAGTGTATTAGAGCTTAACTTGATATGATATTATTCATATGTCATCTTATCTTGTTCCTGCATTAGTGACAGTTAATTATTACAAAACAGCATTTCAACCCTGTTTTAATGAATGACAGTGACTTAAATATGCTTTTGTCTTGTTTTTGCATAAGAAAGTTACCTTAATATGATCATATCTCGTTTAAGCCTGTTACAATTTACTAAATTTATAATCTTATTTTGTTTTGACGTCAGTGAGTTAAGTTAGTTATGTTTTTTTTTTTTTTTTTTTTTTTTGTTTTTGTTTGTTTGTTTGTTTGTTTAAGCATGAGTGACACTTGATAACTGATTAATATGATTTATAACTTGATTTAGTGAGTAACAGTTGGCTAGTATGATCCTATCTTGTTCTCGCATAATTGACGGTTATTACCGTAAAATACGTCAACGTCGTACAGCCTGTGACAGTTAATTTGATATTTGTTTTTGCTTAAAAAAGGATGATTTCGTAATAACAAAAGACATCAATGTTAATTCAAAACATTATGATTTCATTTTGTTTTAGCGACTGACAATTGCATCTAACTTTATATAATTTTACCTTACTGAGAGTAACTGTTCATTAATTAAAAGCCTTTGGATCGCTTAAAAAAAATTGTGTGTAAAAAAAAAAAATAATGGTATGGAACTCTTACACTGGGTACCCAATTTCGCTAATAAAATATTTTTTATTCTAATGCTCTAAAATTCTACTTTGTATCTAAATCTATTCATAGATTAACATTCTTCAATTCTACCGAAGCTCATTCCAAAATTCCATATATTTCTTGAGATATTCTGAAATCAATTTCAAAAATGACCTACTTTCTTTTACTCGACATTAGCTTGGGCCCCTGGTCATTCACATGTAAACAGACTGTGTTTGAAGTGTAGCGAAGAGTTGCATGGTATTTGCAAAATCTTTCAACAATTTAAAGTGGATTTCTTAATCCAGATTGTAACGTTTATTGCGTAATAATTCCTTTCGCGAAAAATTAATTTGAAAACGTCGACATCAACAACTGCACCGCCATGTTGATTATGAATGTAAATGAAGCCATGATAGAACGAATTTTCCCCGGAATGCATTATATACCATTCGATTTTCAAAACAATTAGACCGCTATTTATTTGTGACTTAGTAAGATCATATGATCAAATTAGAGAATATCTTGTAAAGCTCGAATGTAAATGAGCAAATATTCACGAGTATAAAATAAATTCCGGGGAAAATTTGTCCCGTCGTACCCGCTCTACATTAGTGAAGGCCCAAGCTGATGTCGAGTAAAAAAATTAAGGCCAATTTGGGAATTGATTTCAGAATATATCGAGAAGTATAAGGAGTTACGGAATGAACTTTGGTAGTAATGAAGATTGTTTATATTTTAATAGATATGGATAGAGAGTAAAATTGTAAAGCATTTGATTTAAAAGAATTTTATTGGCGAAAGTAGGTACCCTATGAAAAGAGTTCCATACCTTTATTTTTTTTTCAACACCTCAATTTTTTTTCTAAGCGATCTGAAGGCCTGTGATTAAAAGTTAACTTCATTTGATCCTACATGTATCTCATTTAAACTGTGCATCATCTTCTATCCTTTAAGTATATGACACCTGTAGATCCTCTTCTCTTCTTTATGCCTGTGGCACCTGTATAAATCATTTTCTGTCCTTTATTTATTTGAAACATGTACATCATCTTCTCTCCTTTATACCTGTGACACCTATGAATTATCTTCTCTCCATTAAGAATGTGATACCTGTACATCATCTTCTCTCCTCTAAGCATGTGACACCTGTACATCATCTTCTCTCCATTAAGAATGACACACTTGTACATCACCTTCTCTCCATTAAGAATGTGACACCTGTACATCATCTTCTCTCCATTAAGAATGTCACACCTGTACATCACCTTCTCTCCATTAAGAATGTGACACCTGTACATCATCTTCTCTCCTCTAAGCATGTGACACCTATACATCATCTTCTCTCCATTAAGAATATGACACCTGTACATCATCTCTCCATTAAGCGTGTGACACCTGTACATCATCTTCTCTCCTTTAAGTACGTGACACCTGTACATCATCTTCGCTCCATTAAAAGTGTGATACCTGTACATCCTTTTCTCTCCATTAAGAATGTGACACCTGTACATCATCTTCTCTCCATTAAGAATGCCATACCTGTACATCCTCTTCTCTCCATTAAGCGTGTAACACCTGTACATCGTCTTTTCTCCTCTAAGAATGTGACACTTATACATCCTCTTCTCTCCTTTAAGAATGTGACGCCTATACATCCTCTTCTCTTCTTTTAATATGTGACACCTGTACATCATCTTCTCTCCATTAAGCGTGTGACACTACATCATCTTCTCTCCATTAAGAATGTGACAGTGTAAATCAATTTTTCTCCTGTAATTATGTGACACCTGTATATCATCCTATCTCTATCAAGAAATGCGACACCTATACATCATCTTCTCTCCTTTAAATATGCGACACCTGTACATCATCTTCTCTCCTTTAAGTATGCGACACCTGGACATTACCTTCGCTCTATTAAAAGTGTGACACCTGTACTTCCTCTTCTCTCCTTTTAGTATGCAACATCTGTACATCCTCTTCTCTCCATTAAGAATGTCACACCTGTTCATCATCTTTTCTCCTTTAAGCATATGACACCTGTTCATCATCTTCTTTTCATTAAGAATGTGACACCTATACATCATCTTCTCTCCTTTTAGTATGCAACACCTGTATATCCTCTTCTCTCCTTTAAGAATGTCACTCCTGTTCATCATCTTCTCTCCTCTAAGCATTTGACACCTGTTCATCATCTTCTCTTCATTAAGAATGTCACACCTGTACATCATCTTCTCACCATTAAGAATGTGACACCTATACATCCTCTTCTCTCCATTTAGCATGAGAACCTATACATCATCTTCTCTCCATTAAGAATGTGACACCTGTTCATCATGTTCTCTTCATTATACCCGCACTTTCTAAAGAAAGTTCGGGTATATTGTTGTTACTCATGTCCGTCCGTCTGTCCGGAGATGGTTGGTGCTGTCATGTAGATGTGCAGTAAGGTTTCGGAATTTTGATTTTGCCCCAGGGGGTCAAATGGGGGTCGAAAAATGACGTTTTTTATGCTAAAAGCATCGTCTTCCCGGAACTCCTCTTACATTTTACTCAGCAGCCTAATCATCTTTTGGGAGATGATTGATGGGGTCATGTAGATGTGTAGTAAGGTTTCGGAATTTTGATTTTGCCCGGGGGGGTCAAATGGGGGTTGAAAAATGATGTTTTTTATTCAAAAAGCCCCGTCTTTTCTAAACTCCTCTTACATTTTACTCAGCAGCCTAATCATCTTTTGGGAGATGATTGGTGGGGTCATGTAGAAGTGTAGTAAGGTTTCGGAATTTTGATTTTGCCCCGGGGGGTCAAATGGGGGTTGAAAAATGACGTTTTTTATTCAAAAAGCCCCGTCTTTTCTAAACTCCTCTTACATTTTACTCAGCAGCCTAATCATCTTTTGGGAGATGATTGGTGGGGTCATGTAGAAGTGTAGTAAGGTTTCGGAATTTTGATTTTGCCCCGGGGGGTCAAATGGGGGTTGAAAAATGACGTTTTTTATTCAAAAAGCCCCGTCTTTCCTAAACTCCTACTTCATTTTACACAGTGGCCTAATCCTCTTGTGGGAGAGTTCACTCTTTTGAAATTTTGGTTAAACATCAAGGTCAAGGGGTAAAAAATCATAGCATGTTGGGAAACATCTTGTTATGGGTAATGTACACGTGAAATGTAAAAGTCATATCTCTTCTCAATCAAAAGGAAATACAACATTATTGAAAAGTAAGTTAAACTTCAAGGTCAAGGTCACAGATCAAAAAGACATGATACATTTGGAAAGGTCTTATCACAGGTAATATACATGCACGTATAATATGAATGCCCTTTCATTTATCTTTCAAAATGATCAATTTAAAACAATTAATTTGTTTATGACAGTAGGTCAAACTTCAAGGTCATGGGTAATAAAAATCATAGTGTATTTAGAATGGTATTGTCCCAGTTAAATACTAATACACATGTTTAATATAGAAGTCCTGTCTCTTCTCATTCAAAATATATGACTATGATGACCAAGGTCAAATTTATTGTGACAGATGGACAGGCTGACAAACAAATGAGATTTAATGTCCCCTACCTTTAGCGAAAATGGGGGACAATAAATGTCCTTGCTGTTCTTGAGAAGAAGATTTATGTTGGAAAAAGTCCCCTGCATATTTACATGTACATTGGTTGAAATTGGCCCAGTGGTTCTTAAGAAGTTAAGAATGTGAAAAGTTTGCAGACAAACAGATGGACAACAGAAAACAGTACATTTCAGAAACCAGTATGCTTGTAAATAGTTAATTAAGGTGCTTTGGGTAGCAAAATAAAGCTAAACTGGTATATCTAATTCATCCGCAGAGCTTAGTATATTTTAATATGCACAACCTTTTCAACTCTTATAATAATTATTTTTAAAATATTTATATCACCATGTCTGATTCAAGGAAGAACTAGAG